CGGATGAGGAGGAGGTGGCGGCGGAGGAGGCGGAGAGAGGAGTCGGGAGGAGCAGGCGGCGGATGAGGAGGAGGATGCCGAGGAGGAGGAGGAGGAGGCGGAGGTGGAGGAGGAGAAGGATGACGGATGATGAGGGGGAGAATGAGGGATAACGAATAGGGAGGATGTGGAGGAGGAGGAGGAGGAGGAGGAAGACGATGAGGAGGACGAGGAGGAGGGGAAGGCTCATGAGATATGATGAAAAGATGGGAGGAGGAGGCGGATGAGGATGAAGATGCGGAGGCGGATTGACGGGAGGGAGGAGGAGGAAGACGCAGTGAGGATGAGGAGCAGGTTGAGGAGGATGAGGAGGAGGCGGAGGACGACGCCGAGGAGGGAGAAGGGGGGAGGCGGAACCAGAGGGGCAGGACGTAGGAGGGTGAGGAGAAGCAGGCAAGAGGGCAGGGGGGAGGAGGATGAGGATGCGGATGGGGATGCCGATATGGATGAGCATGACGACGAGGATCATGATGATGCTTATGGTAGTGATGTTTATGCTGCCGATGATGAGGATGCGGCTGAGGATGCTGATGGTGGTGGTGGTGGTTGTGGTGATGAGGCTAATGCTGTTGCTGATGCTGCTGCTGACGATGCTGATGATGTGATGACGATGATGTTCAGATTGTGATGATGATAATGATGATGTTGATGATGATGGTGATGATGATGATAATGTTCATGCTGATGATGTTGTTGATGATGATGGTGCTGCTGAGGATGGTGACGATGATGATGATACTGATAAGTATGGTGTCGGTGATGGTGATGATGCTGCTGATGCTGATTAGGATGCTGATGTTGACGATGCTGTTTTTGATGGTAACTGTGAAGATACCGATTGTTGTGCTGCTGTTCATGATGATGACGAGGATACGGATGATCATGCTGATGGGGAGGATGTGGAGGATGATGGCGATGGTGATGGTGATGATGATAATGATGATGCAAATTGCGACGATGATGACGATGGTGATGATGACGGTGATGATGGCGATGATGATTACGATGGTGGTGCTGATGTTGATAAGTATAATGATGGTGCTCATGATGTTGGTGATGGTGATGATGCTGATGCTGATGATGCTGTTGCTGATGATGCTGATGTCGCTGATGTTGATGATACTGATGCTGATGAGGATGAGGTCGAGGACAAGGATGCGGATGAGGATGCTGCTGATGCTGTTGATGAGGAGGAGGATGTGGAGGACGATGGCGATGGTGATGGTGATGATGATGCTGATTGCGACGACAATGCTTATGCTGATGACGGCGACGATGGCGATGACGATTGCGATGGTGATGTTGGTGCTGATGCTGATGGGTATGACGATGCTGAGGATGATGCTTATGTTGATGATGATGAAGCTGACGATGCTGTTGATAATGATGCTGCTGATGATGATGACGATGATGCCGCTGATGATGATGCTGATGATGATGCTGTTGGTGATGATGATGATGAGAATGAGGACGAGGATGAGGTTTGGGACAAGGGTGATGATGATGATGAAGCTGATGATGATGATGATGATGATGAACCTGATGATGAAGATGAGGATTGCGATGATGATGAGGATGCATATGTGGCTGAGGATGAGGATGTGGATGAGGATGGTTTTCGTGTTGCGGATGATGATGGTGATGATGAGTGTTGATGATGGTGATGATGATCATGGTGATGGTGATGCTGGTGAGTATGATCATAATGGTGATGATGCTGGTGCCGGTGATGGTGATGCTGCCGACGGCGATGGCGATGGTGCTGCGGATGATGATGATGATGATGATGATGATGATGATGATGATGATGATGATGATGATGATGGTGATGATGATGATGGTGATGACGGTGGTGGTGGTGATGTTGATGATGCTGATGATGGTGGTGGTGATGCTGATGTTGATGATGACGGTGGTGATGGTGATGATGCTGCTGATGATGATGTTGATGATGATGATATGATGACGGTGATCAGGTGAGGATGAGGCTGTTGCTGATGATGGTAATGATGCTGATGATGATAATGATGATGACGATGACGATGACGATGACGATGACGATGATGAAGATGATGATGATGATGATGAGGAGGAGGAGGAGGAGGAGGAGGAGCAGGAGCAGGAGCAGGAGGAGGAGGATGATGACGATGAGGAGGAGGAGGAGGAGGAGGAGGAGGAGGAGGAGGAGGAGAAGGACGGAGGAGGAGGAGGAGGAGGAGGAGTAGGAGGAGGAGAGGAGGAGGAGGAAGAAGAGGGGGGAGGGATGAGGAGAAGAGGAGGAGGAGGAGGAGTAGGAGGGGGAGGAGGAGGAGGGCGGAGGATGAGGAGAGGAAGGATGATGAGAGGGGGGAGGAGAGGAGGGGGAGGATGAGGAGGAGGAAGGATGATGAGAGGGGTGAGAGGAGGAGGAGTAGGAGGAGGAGGCGTAGGGTGATGAGGAGGAGGAGGAGGAGGAGGAGAGGGAGGACGAGCAGGACGGGGAGGAGGAGGATGATGCGGAGCTGGATGTGGAGGCGGAGGCGGAAAGGGGGGGGGGAGGGAGGGAGAGGGAGGAAGCGGGAGGAGGAGGAGGCGGAGGAGGAGGAGGAGGAGGAGGAGGGTGGGGAGGAGGAGGAGGAGGGGGAGGAGGAGGAGCATGAGCAGGAGGAGGCGGATGCGGAGGGAGGAGGAGGAGGAGGAGGAGGAGGCGGCTGGCGATGATGATGGACATGACGAGGATGAGGATGTTGATGATGCTGTTGATAGTGATGAGGATGTTGATGATGATGCTGATGCTGATGCTGCTGATGGTGATGATGGTAATGATGATGATGATGATGATGATGATGGTGGTGATGATGATGATGCTGGTCATGATGATGTTGCTGCTGGTGATAGTGCTGATCATGCTGCTGATGATGCTGATGCTGATGCTGATACTGCTGATGCTGTTGATGATGCTGACGCTGCTGATGTTGTTGCTAATGATGTTGACGATGCTGTTGGTGATGGTACTGATGATGATGCTGATTCTGCTGATGATGATGCCGACGTCGATGATGATGGTTATGATGGTAATGTTGATGATGTTGATTGCGACGATGCTGATGCTGGCTATGCTGATGATGGTGATGATGTTGACGGTAGCGATGGCGATGGCGATTCCGATTATTGTTATGATGTTGTTGTGTATGATAATGTTGTCGACGCTGATGGTGATGATGATGCGGATGATGTTGCTGACGATTATGCTGATGAGGTTGATTATGTTGCCGATGATGATGCCGCTGATGTTGATGATACGCATGATGATCAGGATGGGGTTGAGGATACGGGTGAGGATGAGGATAATGACGACGATGATGTTGATGGGGAGGATGAGGAGGAGGATGCCAATGGTGATGGTGATGATGTTGATGCTGATTGCGACGATGATGCTGCTGATGATGACGATGCTTATGATGCTGGCGGTGCCGATGGCAATTACGATTACGATGTTGATGTTGGTGTTGATCTGACGGGTATGCTGATGCTGAGGATGATGCTTATACTGACGATGATGATGATGATGATGATGACGATGTCGCTGATGTTGACGGTGGTTATGATGATGAGGATGAGGTTGTGGATGGGGATGAGGATGAGGATGAGGATGACGATGACTATGATGCTGAAGATGATGATACGTACGATGATGCTGAAGATGAGGATGGGACTGATGATGATGATAATATCGATGGTGTGGATGATGCTGGTGATGATGAGTCCTGGTGGTGTTGATGCTGGTGGTGATGCTGATTATGCTGATGGTGATGATGGTGATGATGATGATGCTGTTAATGTTGATGATGCTGGCGATGCTGATGCTGCTGGTGATGCTGATTATGACTATGGTGTTGATGATGATGATGATGATGCTGATGATGATGATGATGATGATAATTGTGATGGTAATGTTGATGTTGATGATGATGCTGATGGTGATGCTGATGATGATCCTGGTGATGATGATGGTGATGGTGGTGGTGGTGGGGAGGAGGAGGAGGAGGAGATTGAGGAGGCGGAGGAGGGGGAGGGAGTAGAGGGAGAAAGTGAGGAGGAGGAGGAGCAGGAGGATGAGGAGGAGGAGGGGGAAGAGAAGAAGGAGGAGGTGGAGGAGGAGGAGGAGGTTGCGGAGAATGAGGCGGCGGAGGAGGAGACGGAGAGATGATGATGATGATGATGATGATGATGATGATGATGATGATGATGATGATGATGATGATGATGATGATGATGATGATGATGATGATGATGATGATGATGATGATGATGATGATGATGATGATGATG